TGCACAGTGCAATGACTCTCAACCGAAATAACAGAACAAAGCGTATGAGGTGAATTAAGCCACGTTTCACAAAATTGAGCAGCTCATAGTTATTACATAGCAAAAGGTCGACATAGCTAGAGTTCTTTCGGAGGGAACTTTTTCGGCGGAGAAGTACGTGATACCATTTTTGAGTGTCCTAGGAGGAGTCGCTACTTTGAAGGTTGAGTGGAAGACGAGGTTGTAATTGATGGGAGAGGTTTGATGTATTTTTATTGTGATTTGAACGAGTGAACTGCAATAGTGAACTACCTTGAGGAAAGGAACTAATCCTGGTTGACGATGATTAACTCGCTCTTCTTTAACGGTAGATGCCCTAATAAATACTCCTTCGGTCTGGAGGAGTCTCAAACGTGAAGCTCTTGCGCAACAATTGAACTTAAAATTTCCTGATATTGATGATATAGTGATATTACCAAGTCTGTAAATAGAAAAGCTGAGCAGTCAATACCTAAAATATCTAAGATCTTACTAACGCAACGAATATCATGTTGTATCCTCATTATTAAGTTAGGATCCAATCTTTCTTCCAATCTGCACCAGAAATGGTAACCGATCTTTGCCGTATCGCATTCTAATGGAGAACATGGAACACGTGGTACAGAATCGGAAGATATCGAAACAGATGTCTTATCAGTTGAAGTACTCTCACAGCAATCATAAGGCATATTGGCCTTCAGAGAGGTTCCTTCAGAGAGGTTGAGAGGAGATCTGATCACGTTCCATCCCACTCATTGACGATCCAATATAAGCACAGGACGCAGAATGCGACCCGACCTGAACGAACACCGCAGGCGACAACGAATCCGCAGCCGATATATCTTTGAACATTGACCTCAGATGTTGGTGTCGTAACAAGAATCATCGGCAACGGCCACACGAAGTCTTGACAAGTAATTCAAGAAATCCGAAGAGACAAATCGGAAGCGGCAGCGCCCAGAACAGAAAAAGTAAAAATAAGGTCTCCGGAGTCAGCTTTGACTTGAAGAAACACGAATTTGCCCGAGCCACAAGAGCAATCACAAATTAACTAGGGACACCAGGGAGCATTCGCTATATTTGTTTGCTTTGCAGTTCCTCGATCTTATTGATCAGAGCATTGATCAGTGTTATATATCTAATAACTCAGAAGTGGTAGGCTTTTTCGCTCTCTGTCCCATTCCATCATGACATTTACTCGGATCCAGGTCAGCACGTTAAGAACTGGGATACCGTGAATCGCTAAAATCGTTTACATACATAAAAATACCCGTATACAATATAAACAAGAAATAGTAGTCACAATTCCAATTCAATCGTATCCATATTTCTATGAAACTATGTGGCTAGGTCTTCTCCATGTCATTGCACTATCGTTTTTCCCTTCGTGTAACGTCATCGCAATGGCATTCAGCGTTTAAAAGTTGAGTTCGGGAGTTTTGCAGAACGCAATTCCTTGTGAATTATTGGATTGATTCTGATTTTGAGTCTGCGTTCTTGCTTATTGACTACCCATTACCACAACTATTTATGGGCCTCTTGTCAATGGGTTGTTAACAGTAAAGGCAAACTAGGTACTATATGATCGACCAATACGAATACAAGAGATAAGCTAAATGAAGGTGTCAAGAATTCATTCAAAACTAGAGTGAAGAAAATAATTTTTGGAGCTGAAAATTGAAGTGAACTGATTGAATTGAAAAAATCAATTGAACTTGAAATGAAAGAGTTTACTGTGATTGAACTAAAAAAGGAGTTGAGATATGAAAGCTAAGTTTAAAGGTGTACAATTGAAAACTGAGATTTGAGAGCTAAGTTGACAATTTCTATTAAAAAGTTTGATAATTTGATAGAATCGAAAAGATGATGATGTTGAAAAAAGAAATTGAAAATTAAAGATGCGTGACAGAATGCACTGTAGTGGTTACCACATGTATTGGCATCTCCCTTAACTGCTCCGTGTGTTCTAGAAGCTCTTGCAAGAGCTCCTTCTGACGATAATAAATTTGCTCTAATCCATTCAACGTGCTGGCAGACCGTTGGAGGAAAAGTGTAATTTGCGAAAATCCACCTTTTTACGGTTCACGAGAATTTTTGGTGGGTGACATAAAATTGACTGAAGATTAATCTATTGTCAGTATTATATTACTATTTTTGAAAGAAATGATTTAAGAAACGGAAAAAAATGGGAAAAGCAAAGTGTAGCAGAAGCTCAGTGGTCAAAGGATTGTCGAGCTGCGATTTTCTGTGGAGCGGTAACAAGAAGATGCGCAAAGGCGAATGCAAAAAATTTTGAACTGTCTTAAAGAATCCCGAGAAATTTAGTCACTCTGGTGAGTGAAGGGAAAAGAATCTGAATGTAGTACCCGTCGGAGCTGTCCCTTCTTAGTTGATTTGGTTGCGCAGACATATGCAGCTATGATAAAGGCGGCATTGGGTATGCTCATGAGAACGATCACTGTTTAGATGTAGAAGTTTCTACAGACATCAATAAAGTGAGTTATATCTGGAAATTCCCAGTCGATAGCTAAAGAGCTTCAAGCCCGTTCTGTTGAGTGATTCCATAATTTCATATATTTCCAAAATAATTCTATACTGTTGATGTAATTGAAAGTTCCCTTCAGTTCTAAAATCGTTAACTGTGCTCCACCTTGAACGCGACATTGCTTCTTCTCGCGAGCTTTGCTGAGAGACAGCCGTACTTGGTTTTCTGTCGCTTTGCGTGTGCATGTTAGCACGAATTAGTGATTACCGCACGTTGCTTGCGCGGTTGCGCGTTGTACGTTTGCTACGCATTCAATTGTAGCTATCGCCTCTTTGAAGCAGTTGCAGCAGCCACTGAAAGCGATTGCCATCGCATAGCATTTGTGATCACTTACTTTCCTTGCCATTGGTGTTACTGTTGAATCTAGTTGTATAGCTAGTTCTATGAAGATAGACTTGGTATGAATCTTTGGTGGCCTCTTAGGCCCTTCTACCATAGCGCCATTTGGGATTGGCAACGGTACTTTCAATGTGTTATTCTGGTCGGGTCTTCAGCCGGATTGCACTTGCAAGTATCCTTTATGGTGCATTATGTTGAGTTATTGAGACTTGAAGGATTTGGTGTGCGGGCGTAGCTGAATATGACGTCGTCATCTATATGTGCCGTTATCTTGTTATTACTGATGATGCGTTTGTATTGAATGGAGGTTGGTGAGAAGTCAAGGTTGGTGACTTCGATTCTGGTGCTGCCATATTGGCGCCATTCATAAGGACTGACTTTTTCTGTGATTATCCTTTGGTTTTGCAGAGTGTGCAACTGCTCTAGCAACTGCTCTAGTTTGAATTTGACGGTTTTATACCATGAACAGCATTTAGAAATTTCGTGCACATCATCATCTGTGTGGACATGGCAGTTCCTGTTGAAAAAGCATCCAGAAGAGAAAAAATCGCATAAACATTTCAATCCTCCTCACGATTCTGTACAGTAGGTAAAATCCCTGGAAACCTTTATGAGTGTTCCAGCGATATTCCAGCCCATTTGGGTGTAACACATGAACCCCTGTTTTAACATCTTTTGTTGTACTGTCCTTGAGTTCTGTGTTTAGAGTGAAGTAGAGCGTTTCCTTTTNCTTCTGTTTGATTTGCGGGCGTAGTTCAAACTGCACGGAGTTGAACCTGACAATAATGTTGAACGATTAGTGCATTTGTGATCACTTGGGTCGCGTTGATTAAGTGTTGATGGTATACGTATTAATTGTTGCCACCCACAAGTTGTGTCAGCAATTGCACCGATGACCAAAAGCCATATGAACGTGGAAGTCCTCCATTTTCTATTGCTGTTATTGCTAATTTCTATTAGAGGACTCTCTTCACTTGATGGTTTCGTTGAACTTGTCTTCTTGATACGCATAAGCTTTAAAACAAGCAGGCTTTGTTCTGAATACTTTTGCATGCTCTGCCTGTTCTCCTCGCAGTGTGTACCACAATGTACATTGTATGAGGACACAGTAGAACAACGCTGCTGCCAGTCTAATTGCTGTCCTTGACCAGCACTCTGGGTTCGTTATCATCGATGTGCAAAATGTGCAGGTAATCTGCTTGCAAAATGGGCTCGAAGAGCAAGCACATTGAAGTGCTTGTGTAAAATTGAAAATTAATGTCTTGACTAATATGTGGTGAGAATGGAGGGTGATTTCTGCTGGAAATTGTACTTTGACAATTTTCTCTGGGTTTTCTACTTCTAAGCAGTAATCATCAGCGCAAATGAGTATTTTATCTTGTTGTTGTTGCATATTGGTAATTATGCTTACTTCTGTGCACTGTACTGTGATTTCCTCATCCCTTGTGCTCGCTCTTGATTGGAGGTTGCGCAAAGGCTCGTCAATAATGCGAGCACGAGCCAATGCTGATAATAAATGTGGAATTGATCTCTACTTCTGTGGTCATTGTGTATTCCAAAGTGAGAGTCCTCGTCTTCCTTTGCGCGGCGGGATAGCCGTGATCGAGTTCGCTTGACCGTGCGATCGTCTTGAGGTCTTGTAATTTCGTGATCAGCCGTACGTTGGTCATTGTTTGAACCTGGTGGTCTGTTTGTCGATCGTTGATTGATGGCTGAATTTGATTCCTTGATGTTATTGTGAGATTGACTTTCATCTTCAATTTCTAATGGAATGAGAAAATTAATTGATCTTGTAGCAAGAGACTTTGCCGTTTTTAATTCGACTATTCGGACGGTACCACCTTGATCTTTAGCCAGTTTAATGACTAAGCCCTGGATGAGAATTCCCCTGGCTACTCTATAGGGGATTTCTCATCCATTATGAGTACCACGTCACCCATACGTGGCTGTTTTCTTGTATTATAAATGGTTTCCGCTTGATCCTCAGTTGATGGACATTTCGTAATTCTAACAAATAAGTGTTGGACTTCCCAAGTTCTGCAAATAATCCAACTGTCTTTGAAAACGGTGAATTGCTTGTTCCTAGTCGACATTATTGTTAAGTACTCCCGATCACATTTGACCGCTTTCCACAGACGGTAGAAGATCGTAAGCGAAAGGTGTAATGAAGTCTATGGGCCGAATGATGACCGAGCCGTCCGTCTACCATTTTATCAGTATATGCAGGTGGGCATGTATTTAACATAGCTTCGCATTCTGGTATCACCGTAATAAATTCGTTTCCCCGTACTGATTTTCTACGTGCCATTTTTCTCAGAATTGACTTTTTAATTCCTATCATTTGTTCATAAAAGCCCCCTTCCCAGGGAGAAAGTGGGGTGATTAATTTCCAATAAATCCATTGTTCGAGAGGGAACTGTCAACTGTTTGAGCAGCAACATTAGTTCGATCACACAACGTTTCTATCAGTTCTCGTCTTAGAGTGAAATTGGTTGCGTTGCCGGACATTATGAGTGTTGGCTATCCTCTTCGTGATATAAATCGACGGAGACTTTTATGAAATTCCATGGCACTTAGATTATTGACAATTTCTAAATGCACAAGTCTTGTGACCATGCATGTTGAAAGCAGAATCCACTTCTTTGTTTCTCCGTTTCATTCGTTCAATACTTGGATGGGACCGGCGAGGTCGATGTAGAAATGCAAAAAGGGCCGCGATAGCTTATTTCGACGGTGATGCAGGAAGAGTCATGGTAAAAGGAAAGTTCCGTATTCCCACTTTCGCGAATTTTGCAAAATCTTAAACACGACTGTCTGCCGTCCTTTAGGGATCCAGTAGTTCAGACGTAGATTGGCTGAAATCCCAGTGACTCGTTGATGTCCACAACGATTGTGGTTGTCTTCAACAATGAAATCGGTGAAGCTGTGGGTTTCTGGGAGTGAAATGAGTCTTAGAACTCCTTGCACTATGGTTTTGGCTCGAATTCGTCCGCGACATCTAACAAAGCCGTTTTCATTCTTGTACAGTTGTGAATTGATGAGTTTCAAGAGCCTTTCTTGTGAAAGTGTCGCCTGGGCAAACTTGAAATTATCTCAGCCGTAAAGAGATTGGCTGTCTGTAACGTTGCTAGTGGTCTACGTGTCGTTACCTGATCGATTTCCGGTAATTAATACCTTCTTATTTGGAGTCGAAACCATATCGGATATTTGAAATTTGAGGAAATTTATCACTAAAGACAGTATTCTTTTGTATTAAAGAAAAGACGAGTAGGCTCTGTGTAAAGGGATCAATGAAGTTCTGTATTCGAGTTCATTACAAGAACCGTAGAGGACAGGTTTTGTAGGCTACAACTATTTGCTCCTGGTCTTCTGGTGATGTCCAAGAGAACTCTGGTAATCTGGCCACTTTGACTTTTCATTGAGGAGAAAGGAAGGACTAATCAACCACATATAGGGTTTTCAGTTCATCTCCGTTAGATTTCTTGTGGGACAATCAGCAGAATTCATCTCTGATGGTACAAATGACATGTTGCTTCTCTGTTTGACCAATTTTTGATTAATTTCTTGACGTCAATTGTTGACGAAAGCTCTGTTCTCAGTGTTTGATTGAACTCAGTTGAAAACCACTTGTGAATCACTAAAGATATAAACACCTTTTATAGGTAAGCGTGTCTCTTGAATCCCAAAATTTGTCGAACGGACTCCGATAAGGAGGGCCATGTCTAACATGTCGGAGCCCATTGCATTTCTACAAATTTTATGCCATTCATGCTCAAAATCAGGGGACAGAACCTCGTCCCGTTTGTAGTTATGCTTCCATAGTGTAGCAACTGCTACCAAACTTACAATACTTGTTACGTTCATGTCGACGAGGCAATAACTACAGAAAGTACAACGCGAGAAGGTGATGAAAACATTCAAAGGACCAAATGCCCCAGAGTGCTTGGCCGGCAAGAACACGATAAACGGAATGTTATAGTTAGACAGATCACAGTCGTGATATTATTCCGTTAATCCGTTTATCGGGGGGCTCGGTCGTCGTCAGTCCTTAAAGGCACCGTTAGCAATAAATTTAGGGTACCCTTTTTTTAACGGGGATTGATAGAACTACTCTAGAACAAAGCCATAACAACGAAAAAGCGCAAAAACGATGAACAAAAAGAATTACAAAGGGTCAAAAAAAA